GGCGCAACTCGTGGGCCTGGCATCACTGTCACGTCTACGAAGTAGGGTATGATACATCTTCGCTCACAGGGAGGTATTTCTGTTTGAGGGCGTGGGGAACGGGAGAAGGATGCCGAAGAACGACGCCGCCCGATGCAGCAGCCATGGCAGGTGAGCCTGAGCCTGACGCCCAACCGGGGACACGCCCTGCGTAGCTCGGTCAATCATTGAGCGATGTCATCTTAAGACGCACTACTCACCCGCCCGCGTGATGTCGCCCATCCTCTCTTTTTCACGGCGTCCGCCCCGTGCGCCCGCGCAGATCCTGCACCTCGCGTTCTAGATGCGTGAGTCGCCGGCGGTCTTCGGAGCGCGACAGCTCGAGCGCGTGCATGTCCCGCTCCAGCGCGGAAAACCGCGCCTTCTCCTCGAGCCGCGCCTTGGTCGCGACCGGCAGCAGCTTCGCGACCTCCGTCCAGCGCTGCCAGTACGCCGCCATCTCCGTGCGTACGTCAAGCGGGATACGCGCGTGCTCGAGCGCCAGGTCAAACGCGTCTGGCCAACGCAGTCCGCAGCTCACTGGACATCCGAGCGGGAGCAGCTGGCTGAGGAAGAGTGTCACCGGCTCCGCCTTGGAGATCGCCGAGAGTCCGACAGCGAGCGTCTCGAGACACTTGAAGGGCGTGGCGGCGGGAGAACGGGCGAGGCGGGAAAGGTCCGGAAGGTCGCGAGCGTCCACGTGCAGCGCCAGGTAACGCATGTTCAGACAGTGCCTAGCGAAGGGGATGAGTGCGCATAGAGACAGCCTTGGGCCATCTGGTTCAGGCACGGGTTCCGGGTTCAGCTGCAGGCTTTCCAGGGCGGGCCAGCCGCTGGCGAACCCTTCCATATCGTCATCGCTGAGATTGAGCGCGTAGTCCCAGCGGAACTCGAAGACTCGTATCGAGCGCGCGGAGAATAAGGGGCGGAATGTCTCCAGAGAAGGACGTTCATGACGAAGAGGCGGCGGAGAAGTGATGGGAGAGTCTGGCGCGATGATGTAGTCCACCGAAAGGTCCGTGAGCGAGGTACATCGGTCCCGGACGGCACAGAAGAAGTCGCGCAGCTCGACGGGCGTTGTGATAGCCACGCTCTTGATGTGGAGACGAGTAAGGCGCGCAGGGTACTGCGTGGTTTGTAGAAGCCTCGTCGCGTCTGGAAGCCGGGTGCTGAAGGCTAGATTTCGGAGGGTGACAAAGGCGTCGTCTGGTATCGTCGGCGCAAAGTCGGCGACGTCCCTGCGGTCCCCGGGTTCGGCCTGCGCGGGGTGTCCGAGGGTTATCGACACCACATGCTGCAATCTGGACAGCTCGACGAAGATGCGAGGAGTCAAGGAAAAGATGGGCAGGGACAGCTGTAGGAGCTGGGGAAAGGCGCGGAGGAGGAGGATGACGTCCGCTTCAAGGTTTCGCATGGGCTCCTCGAGCCTCAGTTCGAGGCTGGTGATGCCGGAACATCGCGCGCACGCATCGCTGAGGAACGCTGTGAAGGCATGGGGTTCGGATCGATACATGTGCAGACCAAGGTGTTTTACGCGCCGATGCATGAAGACGAGGCTGAGATGCTGCCGGCTGGACGGACAGGCGAACCATGTGAGCGACTGGAGGTTTGGGAAGATGTCCGGATATGGGCACGTCGCGGAGAGGTCGTCGAAGACCTTGGTGTGCAACGGCACGTGTCGTTTTGCCCGGTCGGTCGTCGACCGAGCGTGGCGTTGATCGTACCGCAGTCGGCGAACCCTGGCTGAATAGCGCTGGAAGCGCTGCCAGTCGTCCGCCGTCAACGGACGTTTGAACGCCTGCTAAGGTTGCGTTAGAAGCTTCGGAACGAACAGTGGCGGCTGGACACAAACGTAGGCGGTTGGTGCGCGGATAGACGTGGTCGAGGCGCGTTCTGGCCTGAGCGCAAGCGGCGCGAGTACGGTGAGTGCTCGTCTGAGGTCTGTCACCTCGTGCCACAAGCAGTCGAGTGCAATTTCCGACCAGTGCTTGCAGACGCAGGCTGCACGCGAGAGGGCACGGTCGTCCAGGTAGGCGAATATCATCACGAGGAGCTCGTCGATGTGTCCGACAGTGCGGACATAGTGGGAGTCCATTGAGCAGGAAGCGGCGACTTCGGTGGCGTGCGGGATGTCGAGGGAGAGATTGCGGAGGTCGAGAGAAATTGCCGGTCTATATACCGAATTCTATCCCACGATGGATAGACACCGATAAGACCCCGGGATCTCCTTTTCGCTCGGGAACATGGTATTTACTGATCTGGATCTTCCCCGTCCATCTTCCCATGCCAGACAATGTGCCGAGAATGGTGATGACGCCGGGAGTGCGCCGTCTTCCGGCCCTAGGGAATCGGATTCGGGCGAGCTGCGCACCGCCTGGGCGCCATAGCCGAACACGAGAACCACCGTCTACCCTGCTTGCATTTTCGGGGTCCAGTAATACTTCTCGGACGGAAGAGTTAGAGACCCACGAGTATGATCGGCGCGCTAGTGCACTTGTGAGGATCGATAGTGGCTCGGAATCTGGCCAGTCTTCTGACTCCGGAGTGTCGCAGGGCGTACAGGATAAAAGTACAACATATTTCCGGCCATCGCCACCAACAGTCTTGGATTCTCTGAACAGGAGAGGGGTCTTCTGAGCAATCAAGAGAAGCAGGGACTCGTCAAATTGGACTCACCGAGATCATGACTCCATGCGCCTCTGTATGTATGGCGGAGACTGAGAGTATATTGCGCCTGAAGATGTGATATACAGTGTGCATCATGTCCGATGTCATCTCCGGCCCCTCAAAGGATGAGAAGGTGAGTGAATGAGTCGTGGGACGCCGTGAGACACGATAATGAACGCCGGAAGTCGCGATCGCGAGATCGTTCTTCACCGCCCTGATCAAGTTGCCGCCCGCCGCCCACTCCCTCGGAATCGGCCTTTAAACCGCTTCCGGCAACATCTCGCATCCCCGGACCAATGAAGCAGCCTCGGGCATCCAGAGCGGGCTGACTCAACGTGCCCTTGGCCCCCGACCCTGCGCCACGCGACCCGCAAAAGCCGCACTACGACGTTCGGGGTGATATTATCACTCATAATATCACATCTGGCGGCGCGTCGCTGGGGCGCGACACGCGCGTTCTGCCTGGAATGGTGCGTCAGACAGAGTCCGAGCTTCCCCCGCCATTAGGACGATGCCCCTGTCGATGGAACCGACGGCGCAGAACGAGGCAATTCAGCATGGTGGGATTATCCATGTCAATATCTATACTTATAAAGAGTTTAGTGTCCGAGAAACGGTCAAGCGCTATCGTGCTCGCTAAGTGAAAGCATGTGTCCTGACCTCGCCGGCGATTTAGACCTATCCCGCCCTTACCATACCCGTTCTGATAGATTCTTTCAACTTGAAACGGTGCTTAGGATGCTAGGACGTACCTGGAGAGACGCGGAGTGCCTATTCGGTGTGTAGAATGTTATAGCCGCTTGTGCTGCGGGTGGGTTTTTGGCGGCCTACGGAGTCATACCCGCACCTGCCAAAGACTGGAGTGTTATTTGACTGCAGGGAAGGGCAGTGTCTGCATAGCTGACGTACCGCGCGCCCACGATAACCAGGTGGAGTAGTATTGGGGGCACACTGTTATATACTTGTAGGCATCGACTCGGACCCGCAATGAGAGCATGAGCCCCTTTGTTTCCATCGTATAGGCTACTTCTGTAAGAATGTGTTGCAGGGAAACGAGATGTAAGTTGATAGGAAGCGGGTATAGTACCCGTTGATGTGCCGGGGAGCCAGGGAGAATACGCCGCTACTCCCAGCACTGTACCTGGGCCACTGTGAGCATCAGATTGGACGGACGCCGCTATGAATTTTCCATCAAACCTGCAGAGGTGATCCAAGAATCACCGCCAATCTGTGCGGAGAGCCACGCTCAGCTGCTCGGTTATTGTGCGGCCGCCGACCACCGTGCGATACGCATGTGGTGTGAAGGTGTCCTCGAAACGATGCCGTGCATTAGCTAATATGTATGTCACGCAACCATGAGACACTCACGAGCTTTGGGCACCGCCCTGACAGACCACATGGGGAGTGGCTGATTGGCGGGCGATGGGAACGGGGCGGGCCTAGGGACAGAGGCATAGATCATTCGTTATTCGCCGGACTCCACGAGGCTCTACTTATGACACCTGGCGTGAGCGCATATCTCTTCACGCCGAAGACCAAGCAACACGGGCTACGTATTCCGAACAGACGCACCAGGTGTTCGTCAGCACATGTCAAAGGTTAGAGGAAATGCCCCTGTTGGTCCTCGTGGTATTTGGGGTGACTTGGTTACCCATAAAAAACGCTTTCCTGGCAATTCATAGCAATGTCTTCGTGCGACGTAGGGAAACCCGGATCCCGACAAGGTTTGCAATAGCGCCGCCATCAAGCCGACAAGACAGGGTGCCGTGGTCAGTCGCAAACCATCCTATAGACGGCAGATTGATTCGAGTTCGAGTCGTTGTGACCGAAACGTGGTCTTTGTGGACAAGAGGGTAGCCGTCCTCCATGAGCTGGCACGTCATCCCGGAATCTGTCAAAATAACGTTCGAACCAATGTACACGGGGCACGAGTAAGTCTCGCGTGGCCTTGTAGCTGCGCTATGCCACGAAATGACTCCATTCCTGAGTAGAGGATTCTAATTCTTAAATTCAGTACAACTGTTGACCGCTGTGACAGAACTGAGAAAACGAGTCCAGACTAGCTTCTGGTATGCGGTACGCACCCCCCACCCAGCACCATCATAGTTACAACCTTGGACGCAAGCTGTTGAGATGGAAGCCAGAAAAAAGAGTGACTACCCACGGCGCCGGTTGTAGTCGATGTTTGAAGCGGTTTCGTGGTCGAAGTCAAGAGGGCCGGCGCCTCGACTGCTGTGGTTCGAGCGCCGGCCAGCCGCCGAGGTCCATTTACAGACAGACCTATCATAGTACAGTCAAACGTATACATTGATATATCCCTCTTAGCTCAGTTGGTAGAGCGCGTCACTAGTACGATTCCATTGTCGTGTAATGACGAGGTCAGTCGTTCAAATCGGCTAGCGGGAATGTTTTGCTCTTCTTAGTATCGCGCCCAAAGGCACGATCAAATCCTTAAGGACAATCAATGTGTTTGGGGTACCCCATGGACATGCGTCGAACTTTGGATAAGCCTATTCGTGATACCGCAAAGTGCACACTGCACAGAACAACGTGAGAGCGAGATGTATGCAAGGGGAAGACGCGGTCACGAGCGTCCGGTGGAGCTTTCAAACGCGCGACGCGTCGATCGATGGCTGACGCGCCCCACAACTCATGTTCTTCAGGTCATAACTTGTTGATCACGGGCATGGAATTTCTGTGCCGGAAAGAAGCCAACTATTACGTTGCGTAACACAATGTTATTCGGTAGATCTCTACGACAGTATACCGACTCCTGTCGTCCTGCCACTTCTTCCAGAACATATTGGAATCACATTCGTAGCCGCGATCACATCCACTTCTTCGCGCACAAACATCGAATATCGAAGGCTGGGGATGGCATCGGCCGAGGGTAACGTCTCCTTCCACGTATAAAAGGCGATATTTCATCATGGGTCGACGACTTTCCCCCCACCTCCTTCCCTTGATATCTCACTGTTCTACATCCGATCCGCACCTCCACCGCCTTGGTCCTCCTGATAGCTCCAGCGCCTACGTCGTGCTAGAATAATACTCCTCGTGCCACGACCGCCCATAGAGTATCCCCGAGGTGCTCAAGATGAGAAAAAGTAAGACGATTCCCGCTAGCCGATTTGAACGACTGACCTCGTCATTACACGACGATGTAATCGTACTAGTGACGCGCTCTACCAACTGAGCTAAGAGGGACCTTGGGATTATTAAGGTTCAATACCCCTCACCCAGGAGCTGAAGTTACGCTCATCTACAAGCGTCTTCAAACCCATTCCAAGTCGAGGCACGATGCACGCATCCCCCCCCCTGATCATTGATGTCCACTGCAGAGCGGTAAGTCCCGAGAAATCAAGTAGAGAACATGTTCAGGTACGATACTTTTGACTTGCGGCTACGGATAAGCAGGCGGCGCGCGTCTTTCCACTCGGCGTCGTCATCACACCGGATTGAGCGCCTGTTGCCGCATGGTATCTTAACGATCGCGCACCGCTCCGACTTGCCATCTCATTCTTCAACGACCACTATACCTAGCTCCACCAAGAAGTAGCCGCCATGTCTAAGTTCCTTCGCAAACTTGACAAGATCGCGGACAAAATCCCGGAGGGTTTTGGCCATGCGCGGGCCATGGCTATAGGTATGTGCACAATGTTTGTGGTTGCTGCGCGAGTGGCTTAATGTCGGTTATCTATATCAGGCATTCTCAACCCAGATCGTACGAACTCCATCCGTCTGTGCATACTTCTAAACCTCTGACACAGTACCATAGGGCGTCACGATGATCCCGAGGAGAAACGTGCGGACATGGTTCGCGCCGAAATCATGGCGGGCCACCGGTTCCATTCATTCGCGGACCAACGATCGCAGAACTTTGTGAAATGGCACGTCTCGAAGCCAGCCATCTCCGCGTGCGACTTAACCTTGTTGCCTTCGTTACAGGCACATCGACGGTCATGACTACATGTGGGCCGTCTCCGAACTGCTCGAGAGCGCTCGCGAAGCCATCTTTATCTTGGTAGGAGTATCGGCATTGAATCAATGGCACACTCTTCTAACGATGCTCGCAGGACTGGTGGTTGACGCCCGAGCTTTACCTCCGCCGTCCGCCTGCCAAGTATCCGGAATGGCGCATCGACCGAATCCTCAAGCGCAAGGCCGAGCAGGGCGTGAAGGTCTATGTCATCGTCTACAAGGAGATCACGCAGACGATGTCGATGAGCTCTCATCACACCAAGGTAAGGCTCGAGGCGCTCCACCCGAACATCACATGCATGCGGCACCCCGACCACATTGGGAGCAAGGGTGAGTATCCTCCGCCGCGAGACTTCTTTCTTGCTGACAGAGTCCTGCAGACGACGTCGAATTCTGGTCTCATCACGAAAAAGTCGTGGTAGTTGACAACCGCATGGCCTGCATCGGTGGTCTGGACTTGTGCTTCGGTCGCTGGGACACCCACAACCACCCCCTCGCTGACGTGCATCCGACGAACCCGGAGGACACCCTCTTCCCGGGACAAGACTACAACAATGCGCGTATCATGGACTTCGCCAATGTGCCGAACTATGTCAGCAACGGCCTGAGCGCGATCGAGAGCGCGCGCATGCCGTGGCACGACGTGCACATGACGCTTACTGGCACCGTCGTGTTAGATATCGTGCAGCACTTTGTGGAACGCTGGAACGAGGTCAAGAAGCGCAAGGTAAGCTCAGGCTCTTTCTGATATGTCAAGCTTCTGACCTCGCGTGCATGCGAACAGTACCGCAACGACGAGTAAGTACAGTCATTCGACTGGTTCTCGACACCTTTTAACGTTCAACAGACGTTTCGACTGGCTCGCCCTGCCCCACGACGTCGAGTTGTCGCCTAATGAGGCTGTCGTCCGTAAGTAACAGCCCTCGCGTTAAATATGTCTGTCAGCTAACGTACTACTTCAGGCCACCCTCACCGCGAACGCTGGCACGAGATTGGCAGGAGCTTCAGGGACCACTTCCACCGTCGCCGCCACGACGACGAGCCCGCGGACTACGACGGCGATCATCCGGTTGCGCGCGGGTCATGCCGCGTGCAGGCCGTACGCAGCGTATCCGACTGGAGCCACGGTACCTTGACTGAACAGAGCATACAGAATGCATGTACGTGTGCGACGGCAAGGTCTGATTTCGTGAGCACTGACACCGTTCGAACGGGCAGACATCGACTTGATCGCGAATGCGGAGCATTTCATCTACATCGGTTCGTTTCCATCACGCTTTATGTACACAGTATCTGACGCCTGGCATTTTTAGAGAACCAGTTCTTGTGCGCAACTTTCCGATTTCGTCGGTTTGATCGGTGCTGACAGAAGCTAACAATGCAGCATCTCGAACACGGTTGAGGATGGGCCCGTCAAGAACTTGATCGCTCGCGCGCTCGTCGAGCGCATTGTGCGCGCAGGGCGCGAGGGCAAGAGGTTCCGTGTCGTGGTCGTCATTCCGGAGGTCCCTGGTTTCGCCGGACAAGGTGCGTGCACCCTGAACGGTCTCGCGGCTGTGCCTGACGGGTAGTACGCTATCCTCTAGTCAAGGACGAGACTTCCGTCAAGACCATTATGGCTGCCCAGTACCGCACTATCAATCGTGGCGGCCACAGCATCTACGAGGAGGTCCGCAAGGAGGGCTATGAGCCGTAAACGTCCATCCCGCATCTTCAACTACAGCCTTCACTCACCACATCATACAGGTCTGACTACATCCGCTTCTTCCACCTTCGCGCGTACGACCGTATCAACGCGCCTTTCGATTCGTACATTCACCCGATCGAAGAGCGCAGCGGCATCCCCTTCCATCAGCTTCACGTCGCCCTTGCTCGTCTCTGGGTCGGCGACCGGGTGAACCCCGACGACCCGAAGGACGTTTCAGTGTCGATCCCCACTGGGAAGTCGCTCGTAGAGCAGTCCACCTCCGGCGCCAAGCCGGAGATGAAGACGGAGATATACCCGCTCCCGGAGACGGTGGAAGAAGCGCAGGACATCGTCGATCGCTGGAACCGCGCGGCGCAGGAGATCCGCAGCGACGAGGACGTCGCGGACAACGTCGTGCAACACATGCTGCATGACCGCACCACGCTGCTCGACGAGAAGTGGCTTGGAACCGAGGAGGAGGAGCGGAACGCTTACGTGTCCGAGCTGCTGTACATCCACTCGAAGGTCATGATCGTCGATGACAGGCGCGTTATTGTGAGTACCCATAGTACCGCGCCGTTCCGTTATATCAGCTAACACGCACGTCTTCGACAGATGGGCTCGGCCAATTTGAACGATCGCAGTCAGAAGGTCAGTGAAACGATCCCCTCCGTAGCGCATCCCTCATGTCCAGTGTACAGGGTGATGGTGATTCCGAGATCGCCCTCGTCGTCGAAGACGAAGATATGATTGATTCGACGATGAACGGTGAACCCTACCAGGTCGGCCGCTTCGCAGCCTCTCTGCGCCGCAAGCTCTACCGCGGTTCGTCTTAACTCGCCCACCACGTGCACGCGCAAGAGCTGATTGTTATCATTTAGAGCACCTGGGCCTCATTCCGCCCCAGGACTGCGACAACCAGCCTGACTCGTTCCAGCGCCCTGCGCCGCATCCCAACGCGGATGAGACGGAGCAAGACGAGGACCGCGCCGTCGCGGACCCGATCTGCGACGAGACGATGAACCTGTGGGAGAACACCGCGCGCACGAACCGCGAGATCTTCACGGAGATCTTCCGCCCAGTGCCTACCAACCTGATCCGTTCGTTCAAGGACTACGATGTGCGTCTCTCCGTTTAGTTTTTGCGCGCGAAGTGTTGCTGACGGGGCGTCGGGCGTGCACAGAGCTACGTGCCGAAGGTGATGACTGGCCACGTCGTCCCGGATATTCCGCTCGACCGCATCAAGGACCGTCTCTCGCATGTGCGCGGCGCTTTGGTCGAGTGTCCGATGGTAAGCACGCAACTCCCTAGTTTATGTATGGGACGTTACTCACTTCGGGCGTGCTTGCAGGACTTCCTGATCGACCAGGATGATTTCGTCGAGGGCCCCGACTGGAAGGGTCTAAACCCGACGCTCCCCATTTACATCTGAAGAGTTAGCAGAGTAAGCAACCGCATGCCGGCTGGATGTTGGACTACTATTATGATCTTGTATGTATGAATAGTGTTTGAAGTTGTTACTCAATAAGAAATGCTGTAGGTTGATCTATGCTTCGTCACTTGCGGTACATATCTTGTCAAACAAAATGCACGTCAATTACTGGGATTCTTGAAAGTACAGGCAACTCGCTCATGCCCCAATCTATATGTCGCTATGTACGTTGCGTTCCAGTCCCCGAGTGGGACTGCCGTATTCTTGTCTCTTTACCGTCTCCCGTTTTGTTCGGTACACCGAGTA